AGGGTTTGGAACAAAGCGGTATTTGGGCATGTCCAAACAAAAATTTATAGTTAACAGGAGGAGCTAAAAAAATTACTCACAAGGGAACACCAGGGGGCAAGAGCTGACAGGTTAAAAGAATGTAAGAAGGAATTATTGGATTTGCTTGCCATAAAAGAAGCAATGTGGCGACAACGATCCAAAGCTCTATGGCTGAAGGAGGGTGACAGAAATACTAGGTTTTTCCATGCCACTGCAACCCAAAAGAGGAGAAGTAACATGATACTGAAGCTAAAAGATGAGACGGGAAGTTAGAGATCGAATGTAAAGGGAATTGACCAAATTATAGTTAGCTACTTCCAGGGCATATTTACCACGTCTCAACCTGCACAAGTGGAGAGGGTGGTTAATAAGATAGAAGGAGGGTCACTTATGACATAAATCTGCATCTAGAAAAAGAATTCACACTAGCAGAGGTTAAAGAGGCAGTGTTTCAAATAAATCCAACAAGGCACCACGACCTCAAGGTATGAATGCTTTCTTTTATAAAAAATTTATGAATGCTTTCTTTTATAAAAAATTTTGGCATGTGTTAGGGAAGGGAATTTCTAATGCCGTTTGGGGTTTTTTGAATAATGGGGGATCACTCGGGGATATTAATCATACCAATATGGCATATGGTTTTTGAGTACTGACAGGGACAGATGGGCCTTAAGTTAGACATGAGCAAAGCATGTGACAGAGTAGGGCTACCTGGAAATAGTGATGTCGAAGATGGGTTTCGTGGATTATGATATTTGTTCGTAGTGTTTAACATTCGGTTATGGTCATAGGCCATCAGTGTGGAAGGATTTGCCCGACTAGGGGACTCAGGCAAGGAGATCCATTATCACCATATCTTTTCCCTTTTTGTATTGTAAAGACTTTCACATTTGCTGAAGAAGGCTGAGATTAGAGAAGATTTTGAAGGTGTGGTTGTGACGAAAGAACTCCGAGGATTTCTCATTTGCTGTTTGCGGATGATTGTCTCTACTATTTGCGAGGGCAAAAGTGGGTGAATGTCGGGAGGTGATAAACATCTTATAAATATATGATAATGCCTTTGGATAAAAAAATCAACATAGCAAAAGTGCTATATTATTTAGTTCAAACACCAGTATGTCTGTAAGGGAGGAGGTTAAGGCAAAATTGGGGGTTGCAAAAGAGCTGAACCAGGAATGTTATCTAGGACCGCCTATCATGATTGGTATATCAAAAAGAATGGCTTTTCAAAGAATTAAAGACAGACTATTGCAGAGAATTCAAAGGTATAAAGGGCGTCTCTTATCATATGCAGGGAAGGCAGTTCTGATCCAAGCAGTGGCTCAAGCAATACCTACATATTGTATGAGCTGTTTCTTACTTCCTGGGAGTTTTCTACATGAAATTGACATAATGACTGCCTCATTCTGGTGGAATAGTGGGGAAGCCAACGTAAAGATTCACTAGGGGGGATGGGATTCACTGTGCTTAGCAAAGTTAGATGGAGGGTTGGGTTTTAGGGATTTTCAGGCTTTTAATTTGGCGTTGCTAGCTAAGCAAGAAAGGCATCTAGTTCAGGATGAGTCCTCACTGTGCTATTGAGTTCTCGAGGCAAAATATTTTAGCAATAGCTCTTTTTTTAGAGCTAACCTGGGGAGAAATCCATCCTATGTTTGGAGAAGCCTATTAGCTGGAAGGGAGGTGTTGAAGAATGGGTCCAAGTGGCTTGTAGGGGATGGTACGAGAATAGAGGTTTGGAATGATAAGTGGTGTAAACAACTATTTTTGTTTTGTTCAGTGTCGCTTGAAAATGTTTTGGGTCTCGATAATCTTAGATTTGTGGTGGGCTTTGAGCTAGTTCATTTCTTGTGGATTTGTTTGTGTTTCGGGCAGCCTAATTCTCTTTCTTTAAGTTAATTTTCAGTTTAGTTTATCTTATTATTGGAAAATAGATCAAATAAATCAAAACTAAAAATTTTGGGGATAAATCTGAAATGAAGATGAATTTGAATTCAACTATTATTGAGATGAAAACCTTACCAGATGAAGTTTTTGAAAACAATCTCAATTCTATCTCACTCAAAGACCTTCTATATAAACAAGTTCAATTAAACACAAGGGGACACAAGAACAAAAATAGAAAAACCAAGCAAAGACCACCCCACCAGCAAAATCCCAATAAACTTCAGCAAGTCCCTCGTACCAAGTCTTTCATAACCATTCACTATTGTCACAATTCCCATCAGTCAACAACAACCCAAAACCATTAGCCACAACCATCGATACTTTCACCAGTCACCAAAAATCATACGACCTTCATCACCCCACACACCATTTACACAGTCACCACCGAAAGACCAAGCTAACTGACCCGAGCCTAACCAGACCCATCTAGCCTAACCAGAGGGCACTCAATCAAAGAAAAAAATCACCTCATCACCAAAAATCATACGACCTTCATCACCCCACACACCATTTACACAGTCACCACCGAAAGACCAAGCTAACTGACCCGAGCCTAACCAGACCCATCTAGCCTAACCAGAGGGCACTCAATCAAAGAAAAAAATCACCTCATCATCCCACTGCCATTTCAACATTCCACCGTTGTCATTACCTCACCATTGTCACCATTACAATCACTACCACAATCTCAAAAATCCTTTCTACACCATGCATTCATTAGCCAGCTAATTCCTCATACTCCACAAAAATTACCAGACACCATAGCAATTCAATCTCCTTAGCGGCCAAAATCAAACAACAATCCGTAAAGGGTTACAAAATTCGGCAGCCAGACACAATCAACCAAAAAAACTCAAAACGCAACACAATTAACTGAAATCACAATCAAAGTAAGCACAATCACAGATCCAGATTCAATCAACAATCCTCAATCAGAGCCATTTATCTCCACAACTGAGAACAATCAAGTAATTCCCTACCAAACAACCATCAACAGCCAATGAACCACAAAAAATGAGCAAAGAAAGAAACCAAAGAAAGCCAGAAATGGTAAAAATAAAGAGAAAGGAAAAGACACACTCTCGGGTTTCGTTTTGGGCCTTCCATAAGGCTTCGGCGTTCCAAATTCCGTGAAAAGATAGCCAAAAGCAAGGGTAAGACCATACCTTGAAGCATCCGCCATCGAAGCAACAGAGCAAAGATGGAGATCGCGACTTTCGAATTCAGATTTACGACGATCTAGAGAATTTTGGAAGAAACTATTTTAAGCACGTGACAGATGAGGCAGAGACGAGCTCATAAAGATCTTTTGGGACAATTTCGGTCGCCGGTGGATGGCTGACGATGGTGGCAACTCGGTGGAGCATCGTTGGAATCTGGGGAGTTGGAAGAACTTGGCCGGCATTCAACTTGTTTTTGTGGAGAGAGGAAGTAAAAAAAATGAGATATTTGTGGGGTTGAAACGATGCCGTTTTTGGGCACAAAAAGAATCAAACCGTTTTGAGACCGGCACTGTTGACCCGGTTTGGATCCGGCCCATTTTCAATAGTTTGCCCCACCGATATGTGATTTTGAATAAACTTGGGCCCAATTGTGAACCCAAGTCATCTAGCATTACTTTTTCCAGCATTGGATCAAGATTTAATTTGGGCCATTCCACGTTCAATCTTTGCGACTCCCACTTAGACTTAGTCCAACCGAATGATATTTTTTCTACTTTTATTTATCTTATGTTATTGTTTTGATGAAGGATGTTTTAAAATTTATAAAAATAAAAATAATAATTTTTTAAAAATTAATCCATGATGTCATATTAAATTATTAAAAAAATTTTGTGGATTTTAAAAAAATATATTTTTGATTATAGATCTTACTAAATTATTGGAGGCGCTAAATTAAAAAATAAAATTTTTGAATTAAGTATTATCAAATTATTAGATGATTTAATGAATCTTTATAAAAAAATAATTTTTCAATAAAACCAAATGATTAAAGGATTTAAATTTTCAATTGAATCTTATTTAATGACTTTTTAAAAAAATTTATGAAAATGTTTTCAAATAAAAATCCCATCAAACTCTTAGAGGATGCATTGAAATAAAATTTTATCAAACTATTAAAAAATTTTAGTGATTATTTTCAAATAATTAATTTCTTGAAAAATATATTAATGAATCTAATAATTGAAACTTTTCAGAATGAGACATTAATATTCATGAATACTCTTAAGATAAGAAAATTATGTTAAATTATTATCAAATAATTTGAGTAACTTGAAGATCAATTTTTAATAATTAAATTACTTGTTAAATTACTAACATGTTTTAAGTGAGACAAGTAAACGTACTCCAAATCTATATCTAGTTTCCTATATTATAATTTAATTTTTAAAGACACGTGAACCAAGTGTGGAGCATCTTTTTAAAATAAAATAGATTCAATAAATGATAAATCACACTTAAATAAAAAAAATTAGTTGTGACTTCTAAAATCATGTCCAACGATAGGTAAATGAATCTAAATGTTATGAGAGATGGCTGCAAAAACCACATAGTTTCAAAGCACAATGCAGCAAAGGATCATAAAACCATTTCTAAAAGTTGCCGATTTAATGGATAGGGACACAAGATCATGAAAATTGAACCTGATGAATAGTTTGTTTTGTACTGAGAATTGTGAACTTAGTGCCCAAATACCCTTGAGTAGAGGACTACTATAAGATAAGTTAATATCGCAAGAAGCTATGTTGGGGGGTTTCTCGGTGAAGTCAGATTATCACATTGCAAGATCGATCTTGAGGAAAGAAGTTGGGGACAAAAACACTCGTTCACCCATGTGGAAGATGGTATGAAAAGCTAAGGTACTGCCAAAGGTCAAGATATTCATGTGGAGGTTGCTATATATGGGGAATATTACCAGTAAGAAGTGCCCTCAGAGCTCGTCGAATACCAGTAGAGGATTCATGCTGCGTATGCGGTCAAGAGGGGGAATCTGGTTTCCATTTTTTTTTCGATTGTGAGTTGAGTAGGCAGGTATGGGGTAAAGTGGGCAGCTGGATTCCTGAATGGATAGATTCTTGGGCAAATTCCCATGAGTTCTGGCTGCTAATTTTGATTAAGGTGAAGGAGGAGAGTATCCTTGAAACCTACCTACATGTGTTGTGGATCTTATGGTTGAACAGAGACCGCTGTCTACATGAGAACATGTGTGGGAATGAATGGACTTTGGTTGATAAAGTAGAACAAGTTCTGCATGAAAGTTTAGTAGTGCAGGAAGTAGGAAGAGATGGGGATTACAGGATGGAAAGGTGGCCCTAGACGCCGCTTGTGGACGTGGAGTACAAAATGAATATGGATGCTGCGTATGACCAAGCGAGTAGGAGGGCCCGAATGAGGATAGTGATTCGGGATACGAGGGGAAAGGTAAAGCTGGGAGCAATGACGCGGATCGTTAATGGAAAATGCCCTATGCATGCTGAGATGAATGCGGTGTTGTTTGGGGTTGGAATAGTGAGGGGAAGAGGCTTTGAGGAGGTTGAGGTAGAATCGGACTCAGCATTAGTGGTGCAGGAGATCAATAAGGCTGGAGTGTCCTTCTGGGAGTGGGCCGCATTAACAAGGGAAGTGGTGAGTCTGGCAGCAAAGTTCAAGACATGCAGGTTCTCTAACGTTCGAAGATTTGCAAATTCGCTGGCACATAGTATAACCGGGGTTGAGTGCCCAGAAGGTGAGATCATTGTATCGGAGCATCTCCTAAGCTTTATTGACAATGTTGATGCTGTTTTAGATTAATGAAAAAAAAATTCAATCCAAGCTTTATAATCAACAACAGTATAGTCCGACGATGCATATATAATTTAATGGTTGATGATTTTTTTTAAATGTGAGTTCAAATCTTCCGTCTTTTAATATATATAATGCTAGATCTTTTTTTTTTTTCAAATTTTGTATATTTATAATATATATAAAAAAATGTAGATGAATTTATTAATTTTTTGATCAAAAAAATATTTAAAAATATTTTTTGAAAGTATACAAAAAATTTTGTTTTAAAAACTTTTTTTGTTTTTAATTAAGCGTGCGCACATATACATATATATATATATATATATGCTCACTATAAAGAGAATAAAAAAAAAATGATATAATTTAGTGCCTTGATCACAAAATGTTAAGCTGTTTTGAGAGTAGTCGCTGATCCATAACATAAATTTTGGTCATGTACGGTCAACGGTATGCAGACACCAAATTTGTTTATACTAATTTCAAGATCGAATCAAAGTTAATTTCCAGATAATTTAAATTTTGGTAGAATCCACTGGGTTTGGCCTATTTGAATGTTTCAATTAATTATTATCTTGCCAAATCCTTGAGTTTTGTTGGATCACCGAAAAGATTGAATTGTAGCCAAATCTAATTTTAGAATTTGTTGAAATGATTCGGGCTTGAAAGCCCGTCGCCCAAGCTATTTGGGCTTAAAGGCTCAATGAAATTTTAAGTCCAAAATCATAGTCCCATTTTGGTTTTTTTAGTTTCATTTCATTTGTAAAAATAAAAATTAAAAAAAAAATCAATCAAAATCAAAATTAAAATAAACTTAAAGCCAAATTTTCTTCGATTTTCATCATTTCTTTTGACCATTAGATAACACAAACATTAAATGCTTGTTCCATCACCATCTTTTAAACTGCCACTACCCACCCATCTTCTAACTCCACTAATATTGTCACCACCCACTTTTCCAACTCCACGAATTAGAGAATTTTGATTTGATAATCGATGTAATATCTCACCTCAAATGATAATTAAACTAAATTATTATTAAAATTTTTTAATTTATTTAAAAGATTTTTTATTAAAAAAAAGGTTGAAGTATTATATAAAAAAAATCTAATTATTGTGAAATAAAAAAGAAATATAAGTTTTTCTTCCTTAGCTTTTTAAGGTCAAAACATATAAAAAATCAAGTTAAAAATTCAAAATCAAATGTTACAATAGGATTAATCTCTTAAATATGAGCATACGTACTTTTCTTATTTAAGAAAAATATTATATTTATTATTATTATTTAGAGTTAAAATTTTAAGAAAAAAATTAACAAAAATTATAAAATCTTTTGTCTTTATGATCTATTTGAGTAAATTATTGACTTTGTTTACTTATTATTATTAAGATTTAATGATAATTATTGAGTAGATTTTAAAAACTAAAAATAGAGATTTAGGTTTTTAAAAATTAAAGGAAAATTATGTTTTTAGATGAGATGTTATTATCTATAATAGTAAATTAAAATGAAATTATATATTAATGGATAAATTATTATTATAAGTATTATATATCATTGGAAAGCTTGTTGAATTTACTTTCCAATGAAATAAACGAAAGTTGATTCTGAATTTTATGTGAAAAGTTATCTAATTTTAACTTAAAGATGTACAGGTTACATGGTAGCAGCATTAATAATAATTTGCAAAAATTGTCTTAAATTTTATACAATGAATTATGAATTGAGCCATATATGTTTGAAAAAGATCATCGAGTCTACTTTCCAACAAAATAAGCAGAATTGAATTTGAAGTCTCCTATGAATAAATATGTAATTTTTATTAGAAGGTATATATATTATCTAGTAGCAACATATAATATAGATTGCAACAATTATTACAATTAATTTTGAGTTTTATATCTTGAGATGGTTATTTTAGTGAAAGGAACTTAGTTATTTTTAGTATTAACGGTTTCAAAATGGATTAATTAATTTATGTTATGTTGAAATAATCTTAAATAGGCAATTAATTATTTAAAAAAAAAAACTAAGTGGTGGAATTGAAATAAGATAAGCAGAATCTCACATACTTTACTTATTTTTAAACTTATGTATATATGTATGTTTCTAAATAAATAAATATTTTTTCAATGTATGAAAAAGGATCAAGCATATGATTATTTTGTATTTTTGCTATGTAAATGATGGATCATACTTATGAATGAAATGAAAAAATGATTTATGTTTAAGAAACAATTTAATAATAACTATATATTTACATGCTTGGGAAGTGGGTCAAAACTAGTTCTATGACCTGGCTAATGAGTTACAATAGTTAGTATAGATATGATTGTACCACCCTACTAATGGGTTATAATAGTTAGCATTAAGCCTTGGCTAGTAAGTTACAATAATTAGCAATGATCATGATGATAAAATTATCGATACAACCAATATCATAAGTTATAATAGTTACCTTAGCTATCAATAAATAAATGATACTGATGATTTATAATGATTTTTAAATATTGATCCATGATTTGATTTGATTATGATATTTGAATAACAACATATTTTGCAATGATTTATGAATTGATATATTTTTATATTAATTTATGATATACGAAATGTTTAACATAATGATAAGTTTTTAAATGTTTTGACATTATGATTTGACTAATATTTTGAATGATTTATATGATATATATAAAAACGATACTTAATCTAGTAAAGTGTATGAGCTTATACTTGCTAAGCTGTGGTTTGTTCATTTTTCTTTTTCTTTCTCTTTATAGATAAGTAAATGATAAGTTTGCATTGTTTATAAAAAAAAGCTAAAAAATTAAATGAGAAAGATTACTTAGTTGTCGAAGATAATATTGGCCAATGAGGTCTTACAAAAAGGTTTTGCATTTATTTATTAGTTCACATTTGGATATATAGAGATATATCATTGGTTGGATTAAAAATATGAATTTTATTAAAAAATTTTAAAATGATTAAGAATGAAGGTTTTATATTATTTTGGGGTTTACTTCAAGATAATATAGTTGTATTGCATCTTGGTCTCAAACTATCAGGACATGACAATTAAGGATTTCATCTCAAATTGGCTCTATAAAAGAACCATCACAAATAAAAAGAAAGGGGATTTTTTTCTGAAAACTCTAAAAGAACCAGTGCCTAATCTACTATCATTACTGATTCACCCAACACCACAAGTCTATTGCCACCTTGATTCACCCTCACACTACTAATCCTTCCACCCTCATCAACTACCCACCCAAACACTACCCACATAAATTCAAATCACCCAACACCTAATCCACTGTCATTACAAAAAAAAAAAGAATTAGAACTTTTCTTTAATAACTACTAGAAATAAAAAAACTAATTTATCATCAACATCCTTGAAGGGAACCATAGTGACAAAAAAAAAAGGAAACAAAAAAAATGCAAAAATCTAAATAGCAGGAAGTTTCAGACTTAGGAGTTTAAAGAGGCATTAAGGCTTCAAACTTAGGTAGGAGTGAAATTTAGATAGAAGGAATGACATATTAAAAGACAAAGGTCATCGAAGAAGCCAAAATCGTCGAAAGGAAAATTTTTAACCAAAACCTTCAAGGTAAATCTAAACTTTTAGAATGGGGTCGTTTTTTGAGATTTGGGGTTTATAATGGGGATTTGGAGGCTAAGAGGAATATTTTAGGAGTTTTGGGATTTTTTTTGACATCGACAAGAGGTGGCCAATGATGGTAAATAATGGATGGCGAGGCAGACCAGGGTCGAATTTTAGGTTTATCATTGATTTTTAGGTTTTTTAGAGAAAGAATTTAGAGAGAAGAGAGAAAAAAAAATGAGGAAAATGAAAAAAAAGAAAAAAAAGATGATTTAGGGTTTAACTAGCAATAGCAAAATGATGTCTTTTGGAAATTAAAGATCTACGCGTTAAATTGACTTGACCCAATGACTTGTGTTTCCAATCGGCCAAACTCGATTTAGTCAAAACCATAACCAATCTAATTGAACTATAAGCTGAACCACTGCAAACTAGACTAAAATATTGAAAATCAAACAAAATCACTCTAAATTTTTTGAAAACTGCCTTAAACCAACTTAATCATCCTTTCTAAACTGTTGACTGATTTGATCAACCATTCTTGGTAATTTTTTTATCATTTTTTGGTGATTATTTATTTATTTATTTATACTAAATTATTTATTTTTTAATTCATGCATGTTTAAAATTTTAAACCTTGAAATAAATATTTAATCTTATTAGTAAAAATAAATTTTAGATTTCACAAATGATAAAATTAAATTCATACAAAATTTAAAAAATTCATACTAAACAAAAAAACAAAAAGGAAATGTTCTACGACAATGGATTTTATGGAATTTTGAGTATTATTTTTAAAAAATCCTTAAATGAAAATTTTTTTTAAAACAACTGCCAAAGTATTGGAGTGCCTAAAAAATTTTTCAATACAAAAAATTTCCTTTTTCTTTTTCAAGAAAAAATTTTAAATTATAAAACAAAAAATAATAAATAATTGATAATGAACAAAAAGGAAATTAAACAAGATAATAGATGATAAATAATAAGCAAGATTATCAAAATAGGTAAAATTACATGCATATCATTTTTTATTACTTGTATTTCATTATATATATTAATCTTGAAAATAAATTAAAATTATCTGATGATGAGATATTAAGAAAATTTGAGTAATAATTCTTTAAAAATATCTATAGGAGAATTTTTTTTACAATAATATCAAAGTACTAGAGTATTTAAAAAGATATTCAATACAAAAGGGTTTTTATTTATTTATTGTTTCTTTTTTAATTTGAAAAGTGAAAGAAGAATAAAAGAAAAGAGTTTTTTTAAAACTAAAGTTACATACAATAATGCATGAATATTACCTGTATTAATTAATTAAAAAATACAAACTTTCAAGGAAGGAATTCTAAGAAAATCTAAATAGTAATTCTCAAAAAATCTTTAAATGAGAAAATTTATCCTAATGCTATCAATTTACTGTAACATTTTCAAAAATTTTCAAAAACAAAGTTTCAATTTATTTTTTCAAATAAAAAAAGAGAAGAAATAATAATTTTTTATACAAATAAAAAGAGAAAAAAATTTGTGAAAAAATTAAAATTTTAAAAATTTAAATCAAAATTATGACAAAAATGGGAAGTTATAAAATTATTTTAACTATCAAAATTAAGATTTTTTTGTCAAAATTAAAGAATAACACAAGATTAATTGGTACTGTCTTTAGACAAGTGTTATGAGAGTGCTAATTATCCCTCACGAATAATTATACTCTCAAATCCAAATTATTTTTGTAAATCCAAAAATTATCTTTTTAATAAATTTTAATTAATTTTAAAATTTTATTAAAAAGATAAATTTTAATAGGTTACCAATCGTACATAGCTAACAAAAATTTGTGGTGACTTCTTATTTCTTTAAATTTTTCTAACAATCTTCAAAACCGTTATGACAAAGTATATGACCAAAATTTATGCCATGTGACACCTCTTTTTTTTCTTTTTTTATTTTTTCCTACTTTTTTTACTTAATTTTTTTTTTGCAAAAATATTTTATATTTAATAAATATTTTTTAAAGATTTTATTTTTTAAATATAGGCCCTAGTTTACACCTAATTTTTTTTTCAAAATTTTAAATTTATTTTTATGGGATTCGCTTGATATTAAAGGTATGCTAGTATTTTTTTTAATTTTATATATTTAATAAATATTTTTATATTCTAATTTTTTTGTCTCGCCGATATGATACTAAAGGTATGTCATGTTTCACATCATTTTCTTCATTCTTCTCATTTTCTTATTTTTATCAATTTCCTATTTACTTTTTTTTTAATATTTTAACTTTTTTATTTGTAGCTCATATGATATTATTGATTAAAATTTTTTTTTAATTTGATAATTTTTAAGAAATGGATAGTAAGGAAATCTTATAATTGCCAATATCACATGATAACTCAATTTTTTGTTTTTCTTTATTTATCTTTTTTTTTTAATTTTTCTTACCTTTACTTTTTTATTAGATAATTTTATTAAAAAAAACCAATAGATGTGTGCATGTGAAACTCAATTTCACCTTTTTATCTTTCAGTAATTTTTTTTAATCATATAATTTACAACAAAAAATCAAAAAATATATTTTTTAAGAAAAATATTAATGGAAGAATAGATAACAAAATAATCTAAATTTAGTAAGTTTTGATTCATTCAAATTTAATAAGTACTTTTTTTATTTGAGATCAAATTAAAATTTTTTTCAAAAATCAAAGTCGAGTCACATGCATTATGGCATTTCGTCTTACTTTGATTATATATATTAAATTATATTTTAATTAATTAATTAATTTTATATTTATATATATTATTATATAAATTAATTAATTATTTAATATTATGAAAAAATAAACCAATTAAGATACCGCATGTCATTCCAATTTTTTTACCTTTCATTTTTTATTTTTTATTAAATAAATTTTGAAAAAAAATAAAAAAATTTTTTGATGCACAACAATATGTGAGTATTTTTATAGTAATAGTTAAAAATGTTATTCTATCTTTTTAACAAATTTGTCATTGATTGTCATTAATATCCCTAGACCTTGGTACCGAATACGAATGTTGTTTGGGTGTGTGAGCTGCTTGGGGTTAGGCTAATGTCCTCTTCTTGAAGAAGATATAAACGAGGTTTTTTTATTGGGTAAAGTTTATAATTTTTTTATTAAAAATTATTAAATAAAAAGCAAAATTTAAAATTAAAATAGATAAATTAAAAAGTTTTGATATAAAGATTAAGTGTGTAAATTTAAAAAAAAAGTTTAATAAATTTTGATAAATTTTTTAAATAAATATTTTTAATAAAAAATTTGATAAAATTTTTATTATTAAATAAATATCGATTCAATTTATATTTATTAACAATAATTTTAATAATTTTTTTATATATTATTAATTTTTATATTAATTTTTTATTAAAATTTTTAATAGGCATGCAGTTGACATTAACGGCTATTAAACCTTATTCTATGGAGGTGTTAAAAATGAAAAGATACTAAGGATAATTCTGAAGAAATTTTAATTGATAATAAGGACTTCTCCAACTTTTCTATTAATTTTTGAGCTAGTGTTTGACAATTTCTTTTTCTTTTTTTTTTTTGTGTGAAAAGCAAGAAAATATTGTATTAATAGATAATAGAATAAGAACTTCGACCACTTATCTTTCACACCCAAACTCAACGTAATCCACTAAACTAGCATACAAAATTGAAAAAAAAAAATAAGTAAAAGAAATCGCAACCATGCAATAGAATGAATCTTTATTTCTGCCAACTTCCTGTTTAGCAAGATTAATGTGAAGAAATTAAATGAGATCCATACCATCTTTTTCTTTTTCTCATTATCCTTTTTTTTTTTAAATTAAATCTTGTTTTCATAGTTATCTTATCTGCTACTCGGCTCTTTGACATCATGTTAACCCAAGTACAATAGTAATTAATGATTGGTACAATGTCAATGACAAATTGACAATAGAGAAGTTTTGGGTATGAACATATTTTGTTTTTAATGAATTATATGTATTAGAAAAAAATTATAAAATAATTTTAAATATATATTAAAAAGTAATTAATAAATAAATCAATTCAACAATCAATTAATTAATATATAATTAAATGAAATATATATTTTTTTATGAGAGTTCAAATTAGGAACTAAAAGTTTGAACACTTTCTTTTTATTATTTTTTGGTAAAAAAATTATAATTTAAAGATAAATAAAAAATTACAGATATCGTGAATTAAGTTTCGTTACAACACTTTTATTATTATTATTATTAAAACAAGATCATCTTAGCTCAAACACTAATTTTAGTAATTACTATATATAAATTTTGTGATGATTAATAAAATCCCATTTTCAAAACATAGAAGAGAGGCAGTGAAATTGGGAGATCCCTTGGTACACAGTATTCCCTTATCCTTTTAACAGCAAAACAAATTGCTGACGTTTTGCTGAGAAAGAATCCATTGATTCTTAAACAGTGGTGCAAATCTAGAAGACTGTAAGAAATCAGATTTTGAAGATTGAGAAGATAATGCCATTCATGCTCGAAGGGATGATGGAATGTTATTTATAAATAATTTATTACTCCACTCAATCTCTGAAGAGATTCACTTAAACTTTAATCATATGCAAGTTGAAATATATATAAATTATTAATTATTTTTTCTGACATTTGATTATTCAATGTGGAATTAGATAGTTTGAACACGTGAATGATTACTTGAAGGAAAAAATGGGGAGATAAGATGGGGAAAGCGCTTTGTTTTCTACTCTTTCTCGTTCTTTTTGATGTGTTAGGAGCAACACGAACACATGCAGACTGTTCTGTCTGCCAATATATGGTATGGATGCTCACATGATCCATTGCTGGCCATTGGCTCTTTAGGATGTAACAACACAGTCAATTTAGTACGTGATGATAACGGGTTCAATGTTGCTAGTCCTTCAAACGAGTCAGGAGGTGAAAGCAACTTGGACTTTGTAAATGGCTCTTATCTCTTCTGTCTAACACTTCCATGGAAAAAACTTTTCCCAGCCATCGTCCAATGTTGTAATTAATTTGTTTCCCGCCAACATTATAAGCTGCGTCCTAAGCAAACCAAACCATTCTTGCCCGCTCTCAAACAAGAAGAGTAAGTTCAATTGTCTCATACTCAGCCATTGGCACAAATGACATATTGGAGATCCTGTAATTCGTCTCCATAGATTCTATGGAGTAGTAACAGCATCCTCAGGCTCTCCAAAAGAAATTCTTTTCTGGCACAGATTCGTGATTTTAAAAAGAAATGTTACGTTTCACATTGGACAAACTAAAATTCGATTTGTAATATAAGCATTCATAACATCTTCAATTGGTAAAATATTTTTTGTAAGATATAATTATAAAACCTAATAAATCGAAACAAATTATATGCTCCCATATCATTTTCCAAACCTTTTTATCTACCATGTGGGATGAAGAAAGAACTAGCCAATAAAATATTTTTATTCTTGGAGGCAAGGAATAGTTAATACCATAGGAAAGAAAGGAATGATTATTATCATCAAACTCAAAATAGACCCTTTAATCGAAATACCCATTCCTCTCCAAAATTTAAACCAAACTTTGGAATAAGCCTCGTTTTGGAATGTACTAGGAATAGGCCCCAAATGAAATAAGCATTCCATTAAACCAAACAAGCGCCAAATCATTCTTTGGAGTGAAAGAAAGGTTATAACATTAAAGAAACCAAAAGCCCAAAATGCCCTAAACCTGCTTAAATTTAAAATGATCTCGAACTAGTCAAAACCCCAGAGTATCAAGACCAAGAACCGTCCAATCCAACCCAAATCTATTCTGATCAGTCAAATTGTCACCCCTAAATTAAATATATATATATATATATAAAGGATTATAGATGCACGGTCTAAAGTCTAATTAATGGCCAAAAATTGAAGAAAAAGTAAACAGAAGAAAAGCTAGAAGCAGTTAAAATAAACCCAAGAATTCTTAATTAATAGTTCCATGTTCGAAGAGTGAACACGAAAAGCAGAAGATTTTGCAGTCCAACAAAAAAGATGCAAATGCTTTGCTGCCGATTGTTCAACTCAGAAAGCAGACTAAGCTAATGAAACTAATTGAGATATAAACATGGAACAAAAATGGAGTTCTGAGGTGGGAAAGGGATGGAAAGGTAGTTTTGCAGCAGGGAAGGGGAAGGTACATAATGTAAAAAAATTAGGGATAACATGGTTAATCTTTAACAAAAATCTTACATGTATACCAGAGGTTTACCCAAAAAATTAAAGCCAAAAATTCAGAAGGTCAATTGACGTATCAGATCATACCAAGCAAAAACACCATTCCCCATTCGTTGCTCCAGCCTGACTACATAGCAGCAAGCTTTTAATTCTTCATATCAAGAGTTACCCACTTCCGGATTTGAGTGTATTACTCAACCTACAATGATTACAAATAAATTACTTGAAAAAGATGAACAAACAGGAAAAGTGAAAATTGGAAAAAAGCTTCTCAGTTTTGTTTCTATCAGAATTGCTACTTGTGCTAATTAGGTTAATTGATTTCATGGAATCATCAATCCTCAGTGGTGAAAACAATGTCTCTTAGAGATGAAAAGATTGAAACAAAACATTACACGAGCAACTAGACATTTCCTGGCCCCATTACCTTCTTGATGGCAAGGTATTGTTCATGAACTAATCGATGTGCATAAACAATAACTCAGCATTCAACTACGTTTTTAAAAATGATGAATTGTTCAAGGGATGGATACATCTACTTTGAAACTTCTTTCAATTATTGAAAAAGATGCATAGAACCTGGACATAGTGAACTTTAAAGTTCTTTATAAATGCTGAATTTATAAACAATGAATCTTGTCATAGCATAGCTGCAAAGCAAGCTATATGTAAATACCGAATTTTATTGACTCAAGGAGCAATTTTTCAAAGTAAATTCTACGATAACATGAATTACATGTGCTACAAAACTTACCAGTCGAAGCCTTCAAAAAGACCTTCCCCTTTTATTGCCGAAGTTTTAAAAATAGCCCATTGACGGTTTTTTATCTTGTGTAACTCCAAAGCCTCTGTCACTGCAGCATCATCAAGTGCACCTGGAAGATCCTGTATACACCAAAATGGTTACACATATAATTACAAGAAAAATTATAATAGAAAATAGTCAAAGTGGATCACAATATTTACTCGAGAAATGACAAAGTTATCCTTCTTTTCTCAGCCAAATTTTTTGAGGTTGTATTTGGGAACTTGTATTTAAAATAATGGATTTGAATAACAAATTTAGTACTATTAATTTGATCAAAAGAACTCAAGAAAAAATGATATTCATGATTAATTTATACATGTTGTGTACATTCACCCTTACAATGTGTATAGCAAATACAATCCAAATTCACTCTCAATTTTATGTTCCCAATTAAGCATAAGAAATTGCATATTATTTCCTTTTGCAGTAAGGGCTTCTAAACCATGCCCATAATCAGCTTTTGCTCCATGTTACACAAGCAAAGCAAAAAAAATTAATTCTACACTAGCCCCAAGAAGAAGAAAGAAGAATAGCACTAACCTGCTTATTCGCAAAAATAAGAGCAACTGCTCCTCTTAGCTCCTCCTCCTGCAAAAGACTACTTGAAATTATTCCAGAAGAAGCATGATAAAATATGTAAAACAAGCATTAAAAAGTAAAAGAATAATGAAAACACCAAGCAAAAGTAATTTATTACAGATGTATAAACAAGTCATCTTCATTGATAGTAAAAAGGAAATAAAAAAGGGTTTGATTTATTTCTTTTTAATAGGAGATGCTAAGGAGACAAAGAAGCCCTCTGAATCTGCTTTCACATAATTAAATAAAATTAAAAAAGGTAAAGGTAGCACAACAAGAATATAACAACATGAAATACCATTTAAAAATTGAAGATAATTCTATAAGGAAACAAATACAATGGAGAAAGGGACAGAGACAATAAAAAGTGTCCACACATCATTCTTTCCTCTTGTTAAACTTCAAAAACATAACAGTTCCTACAACGATGAGATAAACCTTACAGCCAGAATATGTCATCTTCACAGCCAATAAGAAGAAATAGATCTTGATGAGTTTACCTCCAAGATTGCATGAAATTCTTCTTTGGCTATCACCAGCCTATCTGTATCACTCGAATCAACAACATAGATTATAGCCTGAGTATTTGGAAAGTAGCATCTCCAATATGGCCTGTGGAGAAAAGGGAAATAAGAAACTAGACAGGTGGTCTATCGATGGAAGCAGCATTTTATTAAGTGAATATAAGGAAGCAATATATGAGTCATACACTAAAAATTGAATAGATTAAGCTTTCTTTTCCACTGGCATCAATACACCATAAATGCAAAAAGAGGGGAATCCCATGAATGCAACATTGAAATACCATGACAGATTCAAAATTGGTTTGTTGTAAGGTAAAAAAGAAAAACAAAAAAACCATTTATATGAACATTGAAATGTTAATAAACATTAGCTGTAATATCTACATTCAGATTTTGTGGTAAAAGCAGTCTTCAACTAAGATAATTTAGTCTAACTTGTGGCTTTCTAAAGATGTTCATTTTAGATGAGTTTTAGCAATAATAAATTTAATAACATTTAACGCAAAAATAAATCCTAACTACGTCCAATCGCACATCTACTACATCTGCTTGAAGGAGCAGTATAAGTGTAAAGGAGGCAATGCTACCATACCTCTAAAATTCATTACTTACTTTCTCTCAAATTGAATGTCATCTTTTCTCTTGGAATGTCTTAAATATTTGTCCTCTTTCAGTTTTTAGACCCTAACACTCTTATTTTTCCCCACTTCACTTTTGTTTTAACTTGTTGGCATTAATACCCATTAAACATCGATATTATAAAAAATTAAAATTTTAATATAACTATAAAAAAGTTTAAGCTTATTTCCTTAGTCTTCATCGCAAGTCAAACATGGTCATATAGTTTAAGACAAAAGGAGTAAAATCTTTCCATGTTTGCCAAAACAGTATAATCAGAATAAAGATATTTTAAGGTAGAATTAAGTTGAAGTAATCAGGGAAAAAAACCCTTGAAAGACAACAAGCTCTCTTTGAAAAACTGTACAAGTAATGCATCAAAATGATTCTTCTATTATGCATCAAACATTAATCATATGAAGTCACTATGAAGTGGAATATAAGACATATACCGTATCATAATCCAGAATTAACAGAACTCATTTTGTATATATAACTTTGAGAGAAAATATGTATTATCTCAATTAAATTGTTCAAGTAACTAATACCATGCTGTAGACTCACAACGACAGAATTTACGTAGGGCTTTAGGAAACCAAACATCTCGGAGAAGAGTTGCCAACAAAATGTAAGTTAAATAATGAAAGAAATTTAAAAAAAGGAAAAAAGTTGCATCTTTGGAAAAGTTACCTGATACTTGTCTGTCCACCTGCAACAATAAATGATAAGGATGTCATTAGGACAAGAAGTTGACATCACTAATGTTCTAAACAATAAAATTAAATAGTTCAAAGTGATAAAAGAAAGCAAAATTAGAAAACAAGGTATTCAATTTCAGTCTAATACTAAGAGATTAAAATTTCACAACTTGACAATTTTATTTTGACGAAGTCCAATGGCTTTGAATAACAGCAAACTACCATCAGAAAAGAACAACCTATTCAATGTAATATTGCAGAAAAAGCATTGATTGGCAGCCAAAGGTAAGTTAGGTAAGTTTCCTTTCTTCCTGATTTCTCCTATGAGTTGAGACAGATGTTCCAAATAAAAGAAAATTTTCTTTCATCCAGTTTTGAAAAAGTAATGATCTGACGATAAAGAGTGTCAGTTCTGTAAATTTGCTTCAAGTTGTTACTTATTATGCTTGTTTCTCAGATGAGATATTAAGAAGATATATACAAAGATATCGGCAAGAGGCAAAGAAATCAAGTAAATTGTGGATTGGAAACCAGGTCTTGCTATTTTTTGCAATTGAGATTTACTGTAACAAAAGTTATAATTATCTTCAGTCAAGCCTTTGATCTAAGAAACTGCAAAGATTGAAATTCTCAGAATAGTAACTGATCCATCATCCTGACATATCTGTTAATTTGAAAACTGGGGTGTTTTCTAATATGATTGTAATACACATATGCTTCCACCTTAGACAATCAAATCCATAGGAAAATAAAATCAAATTTTCAAGGCATTGATCTAATAAATCTATTTACATGTTAAAAAGAAGTAGTGGTCGGCATACCTAAATCCCAAACTTGAAATTTGATGTTATTGTACTGTACTGTTTCGACATTAAATCCAATTGCTGCACCATAAAGAACAAAAAAAATCAAAGAGCAATTCTTAAATATAAAAGAAACCTTTGATGTGCTTAAATGCAAATCTTAACTTATCTAATTTAACTCCCCCCAAACATATCAAAATGCTCAAACAAAAACACACACAAAAAAAAAAGAAGAGAGAAATTTGAAAATTGAAAGGACTAACTTGGAATTGTGGAGACAACTTCACCCATCTGTAGCCGATCTGCAACGAAAAACACAAGATTATCAAAAAAAATAGCGAATGCCCATTGCATAAATCCAGATATGAAAAATGGGCATCACTTAAAACATCAAAAGGATGAGAAATTATACAGAGAATGGTGGTTTTGCCGGCATTGTCAAGGCCGAGAACAAGGATCCGGGCCTCCTTGTTTCCGAACAGAGAAGAGAACAATTTTGTAAGCAGTATACCCATCTCGTTAAATATAGGAAAACTACTCTTCACTGCATGAATTTGGATCAGATCTGCAAAGCAGCACCCCTTCGATTTCCTCCCTTCACAAAAGGAGAGGGTCTGCTTACAAGAGGAGTTGAGAATTCGAGAGGGGTTAAATTGAGAATTCGAGAAGTAGATAGGGAGAGAATTGCACCGACTGTATTTTTTTTTTTTTTTTTTGTGGTTTGGGGTTTTTCTAATTTATTCCTGGGAATGGGATCAAAAGGGAGTCAACATAGAGAGAGGAGAAGCAGGAACGGTTTGGTAAAATTCTGTGCAGTGATGGCAATACATGATAGGGCCACGTCATTCTATTTAGGAAGTCGTAGGATTTTGACGTGGTGACGTCTAGACTGGGGTCGTTGAATTTTGGGAGGGAAAACAAACGGCGCCAGTTGAGAGAGAATTTTTTTCCATAAAATGCTTCAATCAAGGCTTAGTTTTGTTTCTTTGTATAGTTAATTTTAAAAGATAATTAACATTTGGTAGGTTTAACTCTATCATTTGTTAAGATTGAAAAAAACTAAAAAAATAAAAAAATTTATTCATGATCTTAATATTTGAATTGGCTTAAATTAATTTTTTATTTTATTCAATCTAAATTCAAATATTTTATATTTTAATTCAGTTAAATTTGATTTTCATGTAAGAAAATGATAAAACTAAGAATAAAATCAAATCAAATTAAATATTTTTATCAATTTACATATATTAAATTTTATAAAATAAAATAATTATTTTAATATATTAAAATTAATATAATTTAATTCGAATCAATTTCTAATAAAATTTAATTCAAATTCAAATTGATTTTTAAAAATCTATAATACTATCCATTAATCAAAATAATCAAACACTTTAACACATATAACTCATTCTTCATTATCTTTTATTTTTAAATTTAGTTTAGATCAGTTTCTTTATTTTTTTTTTGTTATAATTTTTTGGTATGTGTTACAGTTTGTTTTATATGTTACTATTTTTTGCTAAATTTGCTTTTTGTTATGAATCACCCCTCATAACAATAGCAGTCCTATGGTGGCCTCAAATGCTAATTGTTTTTATTTTATTTTATTTGAGGTCTTGACATAATGTTGGCTAATAATACAACTATTGAGATTTTCTTTTTTAATGTTTAAGATTGTCAGAATTTGAATCTTAATCATTTGAACTAAAATTTTAATATTTTACTATCAAATCATATGATTATTGATAACTATTAACATTTTTATATTATGTTTTTATCTTTTTTTTTCAAAAATTTCATGCTTGCAATTCAAAGTTAATTTCTAGATTTAGGTTGCATTTTGTGGAATTAAGTTGAGATTATGATTTTTTTAGTCCATGTGTGTTCCATGTAAATGCACCCATGATTTAGCTATAATTTTAATTTGAGGGGTGATTATGGAAGTTAATTTTAAATGTGAGGTTAGTTGTTGTGGGAATGCAAGAATGAAGAGGCTAAAAAGGTCTTTTACATATATTAAAACTATCCTAATAATCAGTCAAAAACATTTGTAGAATTCAAACATAATTAAAAAATAAGTGTGTTGTGGCATTTTATATTCTATGCCTTACTATTATTTTGGGATGCAAGAAATATGAGGTGACATTTAGTCAATTAAAATTGTTAATTGAATGATACTAGTCTTTAATTGTGAGATTTAAATTAAATTGAATGAGTTATAAGGCATAGATTGTATGATTTGTAATTAATTGGTTTATTGATATTTTTCATTAATGTTTTTATTTTTATTTTAAATTATATGAATATAATTATTCATGAACTTAACCAATTTCTTGTATTTATGAACCTAATTAATTGTCAATAAATGTATTTGGTGTTTAGTATGATTTAAATTTAATATTTTGAGTTTAAATTATATGAATTTAATTATTCATGAACTTAACCAATTTCTTGTATTTATGAACCTAATTAATTGTCAATAAATGTAATATAAATAACCATGAATTAAAACCTAAATTGCATGAATTTAGCTATTAAAAAATTTATCAATTCACAAATTTATGGTGTCAATGAATCTAACTAATTTTGAGTAAATGTACTTAATTATTAATGTTATTTAAATTTAACACATACATTGAATAGTATAAATATTCATGAATCAAATTCAAATTATTCTATTTTAGCTTCATTTTTATTTTTCAAGTTTGATGTTGTAAATATTTAAGCTTTTTGTTTATATCATTAAAAATTAAGTTTTTATATTTTATTTTTGCATCAATTAAATTTCGATTGAATTAATTTGTTGATTTATTTACATAAAATACTATTTTTTAAATATTTATTTTGTACTGAATAAAATTATGATAAGAGTGAATTTGATAAATTCTTCTAGTATATATGTGAATTTATTTATAATATATATAAGAGAAAATGATCAAATTTATTATTGTACTAGATTGAGAGTTCCTTATTTACTTCTCAACTCATTATTGTATAATTTACCATTTTATTTTCTATGTAATTATCGTCATCTCCACCTTAATTAAAGAAATTATGTTAAGAATTTCAATTATTTTTTAATTTTATATATACAAATAAAAAATATTTTATTTTAAATTTCAAATAAATATAATATCATTAATTAAATAAAAATAATTATATTATTTTAAAATACCTACAATACCCTTAATTTTTTTTAAAAAAAATTTTATGTACTAAAAAATGAGATAGTGTTAGGCATGTGGTAAGGGACAAAATCTACATGAAATTTTATAGGTGAAGTTTGTGAAATTTTTTATTAAAAATGAATAAATAAAAATTTTAATAAAAAATTCAAACCATTGATTGGTAGAGTTAGATGTAAAAATCAATAATATGTAAAAAATATATTTATAATTCAAATTTAATCTATACATATTTGTCGATAAAAATTTTGTCATTTTTTTATTAAAATATTTATTTAATATAAATCATTTTTTTTAAAAAAATTTTGCACGCCTGATTTATGTAATGAGATTTTTTAATCTATCAATTTTGATTTTTTATTTTAATTTTGATTTACTTATTTTTTATAAAAAATTTTACAAATTTTACTTATGAAATTTCATGTAAGTCTTTTCCTTATGGAATAAGACCTTATAAAATGACGTTGTGATGTTTTGAGTCAATAATCAGGCTTTCTTTTTAATCTTCTATTACACCAAGATTTTATGAAGTTAAGAGGATATAATACGGGAGAACATTAGTTGGATTAAACCTATTAATTCAATATAAAATCGATCATTTAATTAAATTAGTTTATTTTTTTTCTTTAATCAATTTAATCGATTTAGGGAGCAATTTAAAAAGAAAAGTGAGATTCTTGTTTCAAGTATTTTCTTTTCTAATGAAAAATTTTTCCTGTTTATAAAAAATTTTATTATAATTTTTCAAAAAAGAAAAAAATTAGTGGCATTATGAATATTTTAAAAAATAATCTAATTATGTTTATTTTTATTTAATTATTGATATTATTTTTGTTTGCAACTAGAAATACAGCATTTTTATTTTTTCATATAATAAAAATTTAAAAATAATTAAAATTCTTAACAGAATCTTCTTTTGTTTAGATACAATATTGTTTTTTCATCTATAACTGATTAAAATTGCATCAAAAAATATATTAGGGTGGTAAAATTGTATAACAAAGAGTAAAATGATAAATGTGAAACTCCCAATCTAATACAATAGTAAATTTGATGCTTTTCTCTATACAAGCAAGGACAGTGAAAAATCTTTTGAATTGATCAAAATTAACATTACTATTAATAATATTCCTCTGGTTTCCCCTGTTTTTTTTTCCCCTTATCTCCATGATTTCTTTTCCTTTGATATTTCACATTTTGCAATTTGAACTTAGAAGATTCAACTCTTACAGAAACAATTTGGCAAATCCATTTTACAATTATATTCTTTTCTATTTTGATTTAAGAAAACCTTATCAAAGTGCCTCTCGCATTTTCTTCAAACAAGACATCATACAGAAACAGACTGATCATCAATGGAGACCGCTTTCAGCAACTGATAGAATATATCTAAATCTATAATCGTATACTCTTATATATAGCTAATTCAAGAGCCATGAACTTAATTTAATTGATTTATATAATCATTTTAAAAATGTAACATCCAATACATTTAAAGTTGAAATCACAACATCTATAATTTTTTTTCTTATTCTTGATTATGGTCTCTTCTGTAACAAATATAGATAGATAAAAAGATAGCAAGTTTACACTTCTTTTTGAGCAGTGAAACAATATTCGGGAGCTTGGACGGTTGAATCTGGCAGAGTTACACCAACTTCAAAAGTCATCACGTGTGTTATTATTCCTGAAAATTTTCCATGCTAGTTGATTACTCTATATTGCATAACTATAAAGACACACATGCAAAAATGTCAAGAGCAGTGCTGTAAACCTGGAAATTTTTTCTGCCCAATGTAGAGAAAAAAACAATTTTTTGAACTATTTTTTCTAGTTGCAGTGGAGAAAGTAAAAAATTTTTAGAAAGAGTAATTTGAACATTTCATATATTCCAAAAAAATTCATTGTTCATTGAAAGACAAAAGAAAGCTTAATAATCACATACGTACCATCATAGAAATCCCATCGAACTGGCCTCTTAGTAGCAACATCTTCAAAGTACCAAATAAAATCCACTTTCTCCCACACATCACAAAGGAACCCATCCTTGACTTGAGTCCCCAAATAATGAGCTCCATCAAGAAAATCAGGCCTGGGAATGCCAACTCCAAAATCAATGATCTCGCATGTTCCATTGGTACCCAGCGTGTAGTAAAAGGAGGTGCCATTGTTCCACTCTACATCGTACATAAACACCCCAAGCTGCTTCTGCTGCAGATTAACATTGCGGCCTTTTGGCCAATCATACCAAAGGTCAGTGATTTGGTGACCCCCTGAGTACAACGTCATGCAAAGAAGTGCATGGAATTGTTCAGGCCATGGCGTCGGGGTAGGGACTCAGTCAGGCCATTCAACTGAATGATTCATAGAAAATTGAAGAAATATCACTGACGAGGTTATGCAGAAAAGGAAGTTTTTCAACCTCATCTCACTTTTGGAGCTTTTTCCTTGTTGAACCAGATTCTTTGTTCTTGTTGTTTGCTTTTCCCTATGGAATGTGGGAAAGGGATAAAGAGTCCAAAAAA